CACAGCACACTTTGTCCTCTCTACGCCACAAAGCTCAGCCTCACGACGAGGGTAGTTGCCATGGCGACGGGCACTGAGCGAATGAGGCAGATGGGCACGTCGGTATGTCGCATAGACCAATCAGCTGTTGGGGTAGGGGCATGGGGAGAGGAGAGGGGCACACGTTGAAGAGGGGAAAGGAGAGGGGAGAGAGGAAGAGAAGAGAGAAGAAGAAGAGAGAGGAAAGGAGAGAAAGAAGAAGAGATATGAAGAGGGGAAAGGAGAGGAAGAAGAGAGAGGGAAGGAGGGAAAGAAATAGAAAGAGGAAGAAGAAGAGAGAGAAAGAGGGGAAAGGAGAGGAAGGAAAAGAGAGAGAAAGAAGATATTGCTTTTCGAGAGATATATTCATGAGAAGAATATCTGGAGTTATAGCAGAAGGAAATGTTACGACACGCTATCTCTTACGATATATTTTTCTTTCATTTTTTATTCTTTCTTAATTCGTAACGTCAGAAAAGGAGAAAAGGCGACGAAAGAAGAAAAAAGTAAAGGAAGAACGTCAGAATATAACCCTCATTCGCTGGGTCTGTCTGGACGCTACCTTCCCCTCTGATGATTGGCCTCCCCCCCCCCACCCCGCCTCGACCCCTCTGTCTGGCTGCCCTTCCTAGGCTCTCCCCTCTTCCTCCTTCCCTCTCTTCTTCTTCTCCTTCTTCCTCTATCTTCTTCTCTTTCTCTCTCTCTTCTTCTCTCTCTTTCTCTTCTTTCTTCTTTCTTTCTTTCTTCTCTTCTTCTTCCTTTCCCTCTTCTTCTTCTCTCTTTCCTTCTTCCTCTATCTTCTTTCCTTTCTTTCTTTCTCTCGTCTTCTTCCTCTCTCTTCTTTTTCTCTCTTTCCCCTCTTTCTCTCTCTTCTCCTCTCTTTTTTCTTCCTTTATTGCTCCTCTTTCGTTTTTCCTGCTTTCCTTTTTTTTCATCTTTATCATATCTTTATCACTATCATCAGGAAAATCATAATCATTATCATCAGCAGCATCACCATCGACGTCTTTCACCACATCATCGTCACTATCATCATCTTTACCATTATCGCTGTCATTACCATCATAATCATCATTATCACCATTATCACCATTATCATCATTAGCGTCATCATAACCATCATCATCAGAATCACCGTCATCATCACTATCACCATCGCATTCTTCCTCATCATAATCATCATTATCATCAACATCATCATTATCATCGTTATCACCATCATCAGCATCACTATCATCAACACCATTATCATCATCATCATACTTCTTTCACTTTCTCTTCTTCTATTTCTTCATCCTAATCATTCTTCCCTCCCTCTTTCTTTTCTAATTTCTTCTTGTTTTTTTTTTCTACTATTTACTCTTTCTCTTGAAATTCCTCTCTTACGTTCACTATATTATCTTTCCATTCTTCATCTCCCTCCTTCTCTTCTCCTACTTTCTCCCTCATTTTCTTCCTCTTTCTCTTATTCTTGATCTTCCTTTTTCTTCCTCCTACTTTTCTTTCTTCTTCTTCTTCTTTTTCTTTTCCTCTTCTCCTCCTCCTCTCCCTTCCTCTTCTCCTCTCCTCCTCCTCCTCCCACTCTTACTCGCTCTCCTCCTCTTCCTCTTCATCTTCTTCTTCTTCCTCCTCCTCTTCCTTTTCCTCCTCCTCGTCCTTCTCTTATCTTCATTATTATCAACATCACTATTGCCATTATCATCATTGTTATCATTGTTATTATTGTTATTATCATCATCATTATCATTACCATTGTTGTCGTTATCATTATCATTACCATCATCATTATCATTGTTATTACTATTATTATCATTATCATTACAATTATAATTACTATTATCATCATCACCATCACCATTATCATCATTATCATCAATATTTTCATTATCACCGTTATCGTCATTATCATTATCATTACTATCATTATTATTACCATTATTTCTATTATCACCATTGTCATTATTATCCTTTTCCTAATCTACAACATCCATTGTTGCTCTTTGCTCTCCTTCCCTTTCCCCTTCTTCCTCCTCACTCTCTCCCTCTCTCTTATCCCTCCTTCTCTCCTTCCGCCTTCCTCGTTCTCTCCCTCCTTCCTCCTTCTCCCTCTACCCTTCTCTCCTTCTCACTCTCCTCCATCCTTCTCTCCTCTCTCCATCTCTCCTCTCTCCTTTTTCTCTCCCTTCCTCCCTCATCTCTCCTCCTCCTTCTCACTCTCCTCCTCCCTTTCTCCTTCCTCCTCTCTCTTTGCTTCTCCCTCCTCTCTCCTCCCTCCCTCCATCCTCCTCCCTCCCTCCTCCTTCTCACTCTCCCTCCTCCCTCCCTCCCTCCCTCCCCTTCCTCCTCCCTTCTTCCTCCTCCCTTCCTCCTCCCTCCCTCGTCCCTCCCTCAGCCAAACAGCCTGTAATCTGGCGCGGACCATAAGTCTCAAGTCTCTCATTGTCTCCTTCCCCTTTTTCTCTCATCCATCCATCTCATTTCCCTCTCCGCCTCCTCCATCTCCCTATTCGTAATCCCGTGGCATCGTTATCCTTCTCATTTTCGTAATAGGTCTCTGGTCCTTCAATTTTTTTTCTTTTCTTTTTTTTTTTTCTTTCCTTCGTGTCTTTCATCTCTGTTATTTTTCGTTGTCTCCTCGTTCCTATTTTTTTCCTTCTTCTCCTTTTTTCCCCTTTTCCTTCTTTTCTTCTCACCTTCTTCTCCTTCTTTTCACCTTTATTACCGCCTCCTTTTTCCTTTTTAATCCTTTCTCTATTCCTCTCGTCCTCTCCTTCCCTCTCTTTCTACCTTTCCCTCTCCCTCTCCTTCTCCTTCACCCCTTCATGTATACTCCTCTTCCCTTTCTCTATTCACTCCTCCTCCTCCGTATTCACACTTCCTCCTCCTTCCCACCCAACCCCATTCACCCCTCCTCCCCTCCCCCCTCCCCCTCGCCTCCCTCCTCCTCCTCCCCTCCTCCCCCCCCCCATCACCATCCTCCCCCGTCCCCCTCCCCCTCCCACCCTACCCCCATATTAACCTCGATTCCCCCTCGAGCGCTGCCAACTCTTCCCCCATCCCCCCCCCTCCACCTCCTCCGAACGCGCGTAGGCTTACGACTGGGTCAGCTCGAGGTCACGGGAGAGGCTGGGTCAATGACGGCGATGATCCTGCTGCTCCGGAAGGCAAGATTGGCTCGGTGCGCTCTCGTAGGCCTAGGCTCGTTGTGGGTAGTCCTTGGAGGTACTGCGTGGGGTGTGGGGGGGGGGAAGAGATGGGGGGGACCTGAGATAGGCTAGTTGTAGGAGTTTTTTTTCGACCATTTTTTTCTTGTTCTTCTGTGTCGTCATTATGGTAATCATTGTCTAATTGCTTTTCTTTTTCTCCTCCTACTACTACTATTAAAACATCTACTACTGCTAATCTAGACCTATAGTAGTAATAGTAGTAATGGTAGAAGTAGTATTTTTCCTCCTCCTCTTCCTCCTGCTTCTCCTCCCTTTCTTGGCCACTTCCTTCTTCTACTCCTCGTCCCTGACCTACGAACAGACCTTGTATTAAGATTCCAGCGGTCTTTTGGGGTTTCTAATCTATTAATACTCCTTTTTAGGGTCATGGTGGAGCTCGGGACATCGGCCTTATTGAACCCGGCGTCACTGACCTCGGCTAATACTGATTTTAGGCTCGTAGGGTCGGATCCTCTTTAACGGTTTTAAGGGGATACGAACGAAGAGATTATTTCTCTTTTTCCCTTTTCCCCTTGTTTTTTTAGAGGGGGTGGATTTCGAAAAATACGAATAAATCTTTAGAATTTTAGACGGTTGATGTAACTCTTTTTACTGACCACGGCTAATACTGATTTTAGGCTCGTAGGGTCGGATCCTCTTTAACGGTTTTAAGGGGATACGAACGAAGAGATTTTATTTCTCTTTTTCCTTTTTTTTCAGAGAGAGGAGGATTTCGAAAAGCGAATAAATCTCCAGAATTGTAGATGGTTGATGCAATTCGTTGTACCCTTATCCTTAATACCCATATAGATTTATCCTTTTCTCAAAAACAAAAACAAGTTGAATGACGCTTAAAGACGGCAAAATTTCTGGCCCAAGCCCCTCTTCTCATATCATTATTTACCTCATTCTTATTTGTAAACTAAAGCTAATGCATGATCGGAAGGCACACTTTAGGCTGAAAAAATATGATTCAGATTCCAAGACTACGAAAGTTATGATTATCTTCAGTTTGTAAAGGTTTTCTGGAATTCTGATGCATCTCCCCTTTCATACACACACACACAGACACACACACACACACACACACACACACACACACACACACACACACACACACGTGTGTGTGTGTGTGTGTGTGTGTGTGTGTGTGTGGTGTGTTTATGTATATGCATATGTATATGTATATGTA